CAAGGAAATATGAAAAACCCAGGAAAACAGATTCAGATGCATCCCTGGATTTGACTGTGCTCTCTATTTTTCTCTCAGTAGGACTGTATCTTCTTCAGCTGTCAGCTTCAATGTCCCTATAGATGCGCGTCTGCTTCTTAAATGATGAGTGAGCCAGCCATCATCTGGCTTGTTTCAAAATTACATTAACTACATGTGGTTTAGTGATTTACATTGGGGATTACTGTAAATTTGAGGAATCTGTGAAAATTAAGAAAATGTTAGAAGATCAGATAACTTTCTGTAATGAATACGCAAGGACAACTTCTGAATTACAAGTCCTGTTATACGGGGAGGAGGGGATATAGCATTTAGCATTTCACTTTCTGGCGTTGTCCATGTCTTTGGTCTGTAAGACCAGAGGAAGGGCTTAGTGAGAGGTGGAGTTCGGATTTTGGTATTCAGCCATATGGAGGACCTCATAAATGCAGAGCTTTGGTATGCAAGAAGTCTGCCTATTCAAGTGGTCTATTATGTTTCTGGTTTGCAATTAGCCTGAACATCTGGCCAAATAAAATGGTAATTAAATGTACAAGGCTGGCAGGTCAAACCCAGTTCTATATGCCCTCCTCCAGCAACAGAGAACAGCTAGGAGTGTATAAGAAAGTATTACAGGATATGAGAAGACGCTTACCCTGGAAGTTTTCATTTTACCTTTGAGGGCTTAAAAATAAGTTTTGGGGAATACAGAGAACACTTACAGTGTGTGGATGGATTTGATAAGCTGGCTGGGAGGAGTGTAGGGTGTTAAACAGAAGCAATTCTGCTGCATTGCCCTGTATGCATAGATGACCTTTTAATGAGATTCCTGTACAGCAATTTTATTTCACTGTGTGGATTCGACTACCTTTTTAAATTTTATTTTTTTTTAAATGTCAATAAATTCCAAAAGGCTTTGTTGCACTCTCACATGACCCAGCTATAAGAAGGTAAACTGACGATTTTTGTACTCTCAAAACAGCACTTTAGCCACATGTATTTTATTAATTAGGCAATACCTGACCTCATTCCCTGTTTAGTTCTTTGAGTCACACCTTGCTATTCCACAGAAACAGCTGCATTCCTGCTCATGAACTGACGAGCTATGTGACTGCGGAAGGGAGCCCTTCCCATAGGCAGCGTAAAATGAAGACCATAGATTCTGACTGCATCTATGAACTTCAGTATTGACAGGATCTCTCCCTTGTTAACCTAAGCCATGTTTGAAAGGCACCTTAGAAAATGAGTATTCATGCCAGATACAAGCACTTCCCACATTTACCAGAGCAGAGGCCAGCACACTCCTAGAAACACGTGTATTTGAAGTGATCATAGGCTGGAAATCCAGATGCTGGAATTGACATGCTATGAGGGCTATGCAGACACAAATTGTCATGAGAATGAAAACATGGATGTTTTTCTATGTGCTGATAAGAGCATAGTTCCTCTCAGTGGTGAGTGGATGACAAACTTCAGAGGACAGTGTTTAGGTCAGTGTTACAGAAGAGATGTGGGGCAGTCATGAGGCGTGAGGCAAGATCATGATGGGACAGGACGGACAGCCAAGAGAGTTCAGGGGAGATTGTGAGGGGAGAGCAGGGGCAGCAGTGAAGGGAGAGCACAGGCAGCGATGACAGAAGATCATGAGGGGAGAGAAGGGTCAGCCATGAGGGGAGATTATGGGGGGGAGAGGTGGTGCAGTCGTGTCATGAGGGGACAGGAAAGGCAGCCATGAGGGATGAGGGTAGATCATGATGGACAGGATGGACAGCCAAGAGAGTTCAGGGGAGATTGTGAGGTGAGAGCAGGGGCAGCCATGGGCTGTGAGGGGTGGCCATGAGGGGTAGGGGCATCATCTGTATTGTGTGGGGCCACTATGAAGGGGGGGATGAGGTGCATCTGTGGCTGGAGATCATCGGGCAGTCATGAGAGGATATCAGTTTGCCCTTAATGACATGGTTTAGTGGTGGGCTTGACAGTCCTACCGTAATGGTTGTGCTTTTTCCCAAGCTGGTTGATTCAACGATTCTACAGTGCACCCTTGCTGACACTTGGAGCACACCCTTAATTTCCCCCAAAAATGAAGGTGGCTGCAGCAGCCCAAGGCTGCCCCATGTGCAAGCAGCAAGCACAGGCAGCAGGGGCAATGGGGAGATGCACCTCAACAGCACACTAATGATGCAAGAGATGGGCAACCCTGGCATCTCTTGGAGAAGACAATGCTTTGCCTGAGCTGTTAAACAGTGAGGTAAGAAGAAGGTCTGTGCAGGGTGAAATTAAATGTGGTCGTGGCTACACATGAGCAGAATCAATTATCACCCCATTTTAAGCTGTGGAGGAATGCCTCATGTGCATCCACCAGAGACTGGGCACAGCAAGTAAGGAAACTCCTCACACCTACTTCTAAGTTAAAAAGCACTGTTGGTTTGCTCTACAGTGTCCCATATCACTTTCTCAGTGCATCAGAATTAGGTCAATTGTCTTTCTTAAGCTCTTAAGTGAGTCTTGATTTTTCCTGATGACATCCCAATGGACTACTAATACACAAACACATCACACACATCCCAAGGACAACTTAGAAGGAACAAGAACAAGAAAAGCAGGGGAGCAAAGCAGCGACCTTTCAAGAGGCTCTCCCAGCCACAGGAGTGCTCCAGTACCAGCAGCCACCAGGCACTGCTCAGGGACTGCTCCTAGCCCTGGGGCTGGGGCTGAGGCACCGTGTCTGTCCCTGTCCCATGTGTGCCCCGGAGCGGCCAAAGGAAGCTGGGATTAGTTGCTGAGCCCTCACAGGGCCTCTTGCCTGTCACCTCCCAAGTGCTTTTGTGCCACATGATTGTTCCTGTAAAGCCAGAGCCTGTTCACTTGGGTTCAGGGTTTTGTAGCTTGGCCCACACCCTAGCATCTGAAAAGGTTTACCAACAATTCCATCTCTGCCTTTTTCCTGCTCTTTCAAATGCAGTTGTGATGAGTATTGCACTGAAAATGTGGTCTCTGTTTCAAAAGGATGGATACAATCGGCTCCCAAGGCCCTGTGCTTTCTCTCCATACTTAGCTAGGAAACAAATGACTGTGAAAAGAAAGAATCTGGTGATCTGCCAGTATTTCTGACAGCTACAACAGCAATATAAAGCCATAAACCCACAAAGGTTTCTACTGCATTGTAATGATCTGCCTAAATAATTATCCGATCATTTTTTGTTGTATCAAAAGATCAGTTTAAAAGGCAATTTATATAAAACAGCAAATCAATATATTTTCTGTATAGTTTCTGCTGATCCTGCGTCTCAAACCATCCTGGGAGTCCCCTCAGTAACACAGCAGCTTAAACTTCCCGTATTATTGCACTAAACTTCCAGCTGTCTTTAACAAGATATTTATTTTACAATAGCTGGGACCAAACTGGGTTGGAAAAGAAAGGTGTGGACAGCCAGTGAAGTTCAGCCAAAGGGGGTGTGAACAGGGTTTTAAAAATAGGTTTTGTTTTATGCCCAGCCCTGGCCGCATGCTGAAGGAAAGGAGGGAGGCTACCTGGGCTCAAGGGGCTTCCACCATGCCATCAGTCAAACTGCATTGTAAACAACTTAAATGGTACTAATTTTACTTCTGACATGAAGTTACAAGCCTGTGGTAGACGTGGCCATCATTTTTGTCTTAACTTTCAACCTATCTGGGGTATTGTTTGTATATAGGTACTTAGGGTGTTGCACCATAAAAGGGTGAAATCCTCTGAAAAGATGAGGAGAATGGATGTAGTATCTCTTTGTTCAGGAGATGAAAACATAAAACAGAGCACACCTCAGAGAAAGGACTATTGATTTGACTTACTCTGGTTTTTGATGAGCACTCAGATCATCTAGTGTTTCTTTGCAAATGTCTTAATACAGCTGCCCTTAACAATCATAATCCTGGTAGACAGGTTCATATAAAGATCAAATTGAATCCATATTACAGTCAGTTTGAAGGTTTATTTTTGCTTGAACCAGGAGTGAACTGGAACCGTTATTCTGGTGTGTTTATGGAGTCTAGGCTGGGCCTGATTTTATCTTTTTTTTTAAGCTGTTAGGTCCCTAGACAAAACCAAACTGAAAATTCCTATACACAAGCTAAATTAAGACTATGTAAGTGATATTCTACACAAACAGGAAATATTTGTGCTTATATCAAAGGCTGATGTCACTAATGTTTTACCAGAGTGTCAAGGCTGGAAATATTGTCTCAGAAACCTCAGAGCTGTAATTTTTGGTGAGGAATTTAATGCTAAGCAAAGCAAGCAAGGCAAGAAATTTAAATCTCAGCATATTAATAGTCTATTTATTTAAACAAAAGACTCTTCTACCACATGGAAGTTACAAGAGAGATTAAAACAAAATGGATGAAAATCAATCATAAGTAACATTGATCTTTGCAGAGATACACTCCCGATGAAAAAGGATCAAGCCTTTATACCTGTTAACACATATCCTGTAAGGCAAATGAAAATATAAACCATAATATCTTGGCCTCGCACGCTCCCTCTTTCTCTCACATACAAGTTATAGGAAATGACATCAAGCCATTGGGCACAAACCTAATTCCAGAGCATGCAACAGTTTCACACAATGACATGGGAATGTCAGAAGTGGGATCCAGCTCTGTACTTATAAACTACCAGCCCTGGTAGATGGGAGAGCTCCTAGTTAATCTGTCATCACTGCTACTGTTACCTTCAGACATCATGCTTATAGCCTCATCGGTCTGTTGGCTCTCAGTCGCTGCTATCTTCTTTGAATCATGGATGTTGTTCTGGTAGTTCACTGGTGAGGGATAGGTATTTTCACCCACAGTGGATGAGGACATTGATTCCCAGGGTATTTCTCTTTTTCGCCATTTTAGGTCCACCTTCCATCCTGTCCAGCCATAGAATGCTAACGTGAAGAGGAAGCCTTGCATTGGATTAAGAACCGCCTAGGAAAGGAAGTTCAACAGGAGTTACACCAGCAAGGCTCCATTTTCAACTCCAGCAAAATACGATGACCCGTTGTTCTGATACGCTGAGGCCACCATAGCGACCAATAAGCACCAAATGGATTTCTAGCATTAATTTTAGCTGGTCAATCCCCTGGTGTGTTTTTAACTTTCCCCACAAGCTCTGGACATTTTTTATTCACAAAAGCAAATATTACATTTTTCACTAGAAGCCAAATCAAACACATGAAAGTAGACACTGGCATACTCAGTCAGGTTTTTTAAAATAGCAGGAATTGATCTGTCTGGAATTGCTGCAGACTCCTGAACCAGTGAAAATGTCCATCAAAGTGCGACAGAAAAACAGGGAGAGACACTGAAAAAGAAAATCCCAAGGGATTTCCCCAAAAACTGTCTCTGTTCCCAGTGCACTGGGATGCTTGGCAAGTAAACGGCTTGAGCTGTTACCGTTTTTCTCATGAGAAAAGAGCAAATTATTTTTACAGCCAATTTAAAAAATAGCTCAGTTCAGAGACCTGACCTCTTGCTCTCCAGGTGAGCAAGAGCAAGGACTCTGTCACATTGATGTGTTCTCTCCTTGTCAAAGGAGGAGGTTGTATCAAATCTGTTGCACTGCTTAACCCTTTAGGACAAAACTGCTCAGGGACTTAACTACACAAAGCATGTTCAGGCTTTGCAGGTATTCAATAGCTTCAGAATAAACTCTTTTGGAAAAGGAACCTGCAATATCGCGTCTCAAAAATCCCTTGTCAAATTTTCCAATAGGAGAAGAGAGGGTAGGGTAGAGTAAGAGGCTAGCATCTTACAGCTATTTTTTGGTTCACTGCTTTCAATATTTTTTATGTATTTGTCCCTAAATATCCAAACATCAAGATACAAGATGCAATTATTCTTTATGATAACAAAAACTTTGGTTACAAACAGATAATTACCAGAAAATGACTGTTTTACTGGAGAACCTTCAGGAATCGTGAGCAAAAATTTCACAGCTTGAGTTATGGCAGAGGTCAGCAAGGTTAAACTAGAAATCATTGTAATGTGTCTTAAAATGGGCAGGAATCACTCACAGAGAAAATGCATAGGCTAGTAAATGTGAGAAAAAGTTGGCTTTTGGTACATTTCTGGCAAAGTTTATACGTGAAAAGAGCTCACAGTGACTGCTCCTTCCTCTCTCTTACTCTCTGCCTTTCTTCCTTGATTTTCAGGGTGTTTATATCCCCCAGAATCATGAATCATCCACTAGGCGGGTGCTGTTCCACCAGTCTTAAAAAAGCGGTTTCTAAAACTAAGCAATGTCACAGCTGACCTACCATAATAATCCACGTGATCAGTGCAGCACTTCTGATGTTTTTCAGGGGATTTTCATTGATATCTGGCTGCATTTCAAGATAGAACAAAAGGCTCTCGTTGATGATATTGGATGACCAGCTATTGCAAGAGTAAAGAACAAGACAGTTATATATATATTTTTGTATATGTAAAATATGCTTTAACTTCAAATTATAAAAAATAGGGTCACTAATAAGGACAGTGAGATTTTTTTAAATATTAAGACTCAATCTGAAGGGACTAGTTGGTCTCTGAGATCATGATCAAAAACCAGACACTTACCTACTAGCCCAAGCATAGACAAAGAAACCAATATAGCAGCCAAACCCAACCAAAATAATAACTGAACCTGATCATTTGATCTTGCTGCAGAACAGTAAATTGTAGGACGAAATTGAGATGATAAACAACTGTGATCAATAATGGGAACATCATGAGTGCTGACTTCTTTTGCTTGTGTCTTAAAAGGGAAGTGTTCAAAGATAAGGAAACCAAATATATGCATGCTTGTTGTAAAAGGCTGCAGGAACTCTAGCTGAAGTTAGAATTTCAGGGCTAGAATACGACAGCTTTTAAAAATGTCTGTAAAAAAACTGTGAAGCAAAACAAAAGCTGACTTTAAAACCCTTGAAAATACCATCATATTTTTGGTAATTTGTAATCTAAGGAAGGATGAGCATAATCAAGCCTCACCTTGTGAAAGAAACTGAGGGTATTCTACACTAAATAAAGGTTATAGCAAATATCTGTAATTTCTTATGACTTCTAAACCAGCATTTTTTTATAGTTTTACTGCATCTTCAGAAAGTAAACCATCAGCACCCATGTTATACTTTCTGAAGGGGTTTATACATGTCCTTTGTGCAATTATGTTTTTATCACAGTGTAAAACCTCCTGTTCTCCCCTCCTAAATCTGCAGGCATGTCTTGTACCCCCTGTTGCCCTAACCTGCTGTCTTTGACTAACTCATTTCATATTTGACTTCTGGGATGGAAGGACATCTTAGCTTCTGGCATGGGACTGCCTCTGTCTTAACCTACAGTAAGCTTTGAGAGAGTTTTTACACTCTAAAGCTTATGTTTTACTGTGAGAACAAAATCCAAAACTAGAACTGTGACTATTTTTTTTTCATAGGAAACCCCAGAACGAGACATAATGGAAATAACAAATGTCCCCACTGTGTCCTTGGGGAACTGATCTTTTCTTTCATGTTTGCTCCAAGACGAGCAAGCTGGCCACCATTCCTTAGGTTGCAACACACTTCTGTGGTGCCTCTAGGCACTCTCTTTCCACAGCCCTGAAAGCCTGGTTAAATCTGTGCTCCTTGTTATTTCAGCAATTTCCAGAAAGCCATGCTGCAGGACCCTTTGTTGCTGTCTCCCTCTCTTTCTGGTTACCCCACACATCGTACTAGAAACCTCTCTTCCAAGCCAAGCAGACTCTGATATTTCCCAAGAAAAGTCAGTTGTTTCTCTCCAGAGCTCTCCAGTATACAGCAGCCAGGAGAAGTTAAAAAGGCAGTCTTTCTCCCTATTCATCCTTTTGAAGCAGTGTAACATGCATTAATGTCCCTGTGTATAAAGAAAGTTAAGTAGTTGTAGAGACTGTTCAGTTTGGCCAAGTTATTTCACTACTCCAGGACCATATAATTCCTCCCCCTGTTGCTTGTGATACCCACGTAGGCAGTAAACACTTCACAGCAGTGACTGCTTCTTCCTAGATCACTTCACAGATCTTTGTAGAGTAAACCACCACTCCTTCTGGTGCATCTATCGCTGTGAGATTGCAGTAAAACACATTTTCACAGTTTTGCTGTGTGCATCTAGAACCTCCAGTTCCAGTTACTACTCCAGAATCTTTCACACTGGATGGTGCAGTTGAAGCAGAGAAGTGGGGGCTATGGGATTGAAGCAGCACCCTCCCTCTTTCCCCAATTCCCTTGTTCCCTTACCTCCTCTCCTCCCTATCTTTTTCCCGTCCTACCCCAAAGCACTATTTTCATGATTGAAGATAGAACATTTAAAAAAAAACAACAAAACCAAACAAACAAAAAACCAAACAATCAAAACTCATTAAATTATCAGAAATTTCACACACAATAAAATGGCGATTTCTGGCATATGACCTTGTGTTTCCAGTCAATATTCATTCTTTTTTTCACACACTTGGGATCTGCAGACCACATAGGTGACAGCATTATATAATCATAGTCAGGGCCATGAAGCCAGTCTTACAAGCTTATTTACTGTAGGTTTTCAGTGATGTGTTTGGTGTCCAGAAGCTCTGAGAAATCTTGCGTACAGAAAGCTGTCAATCAGCCCACAATGCTGGGTAGCTGCTGTTCCAGGCAGCTTTAGTCTATGCCCAACCTTTTTTTTGGCTATTGTTTCTTGGGGTTATTATCTTCCTGCTGGTTAAACATTTTTATCATTTCCGTGCAGCCTTCTGATGCTACATGAGTGATTCAGCTACTTTGTGAACTGGATTAGAACTACTTCTGGAGACACCTTCCCTTTCAGGCACAAAGAAAAACAAATGAAGCAACCCATCAGACTATTCTTATCCCTGATCCACTCTAGCTGGAAAAAAGGCAGTTTAAAACAATATAATGCACCTCTTACCAAATAACGAATACCAGCATAATTTTGAAGAAGCGGATCTGGATCTCTGTCCCCAGACGTCTTTCATTCTCTGTGTAAATCCCTTGTCTCCCTTTCAGTAAGGAGGCAACTGGAAAGTATACAATCACGTTCATTAATATACATGTATCTTGTTAGTTATAGGCACAAGGATCCAGAAGATAGATGTCTATAAAGAAGAAACAAAGGAATGGATGGATTTGTCTCCAGCAGCAGTTCAGAAGCTGGAAGGACCATCATCAAGGAATCTCAAAAGTACATCCATTATGGATTCCTAAAATGAGTGATATCCCACTAGATCACTAGATGGTTTTTCTTTTCTCAATCCCACTGAAAACAGAAAATAGTATGGTCAGCACACTTTCGTTTTATAACAGAAGGCAGTGCTTACAACTTCTATATAATGTGATATATTTATTATGTGATGTTTAGAGTAAAATAAAATACATTCTATCCTATTATACATATTACATTTCATTGAGTAATTGATATAGCATTGGCTACACCTCTGAAACTTCAAGGAGTAATGTCAGCAAAATAGACAGTTAAGCTACATGCTGTTCAGATATCACGAGGAATATATATATGAACAAACACAAATATTCTCAGTGTGCATTTTCCCAAAAAGAGCAATTTTTTTATAGAAACAACTTTTTAAAGGAACAACTGTTCCTTTGAAAATTAGTATTACTGAGGGACACAGGATGCATGGGATGAAGACTGAACTGAGAACGCAAGTTCTGTTGCTGTTTTATGTATTCAATGCATAGATAAGTACAAATTCAGGTACTGCAAACATCTAACATGGGTCAAATTGCATGCAAAGAATGCACTGAATCTGTGGCTCTTTTCAGTCTGATTTCTTCAAAGCACTGGATAATAAATTAAATGGGAACGTCAAGATTCCATCTGAGTTGTGTACAATTCCCATTTGTTTCATCATCTCGGAATCAAAAGTGATAAAATTCTGATCATATTTTATTTATTTATTTTTAGCTCCAGGGCTGCTAAGAAGTAGAAGTTAAGCATCCACTATACACTGCTTCCAATACTTTAAATCAAGAGTAATTTCGTAACATAAAAACACCTTTGACAATCTGCAGTAAAGGTTTTTAGGAGCATAGCTTAGGTATGTCATCAGAGTGTCTCTAGGGCTAATTTTCCATCAAGATGGTATCTTCTTTTCAATAGGCAACTCCTTCCCACCCTTTGCTGTATCTTCATGAGTTAATGAGGAGCTGTCCCACATCACTGAATACACACACATGACTCTTTACAGTACTGTTATGTTGCTAAGTAACACATTCTGATTGATGCTGGCCATTAGGAACATACCTGCTGATACTGTCCTCCTGAACAGGATTGGGTTGACCACCAGCACTAGCAGGAGTGGGGCGTAGGTTGTGATGTAGTGTGGGATTGCATGCTCCAAGCCATTTTCACAGCTGAGAAAAATTATTAACAGCTTATGTGTATTTTTTCCCCACAGCTGACAGTTCTGGCTATTCTATGTTACCTTTAACTTAAAAAAATAAAAGGAATGAAGCAAACAGGTGCTAAGCTTTTAAATCACAGACCTTTACCACCAGTTCACATGCAACCCAAAGTTGATTTTTAACATGCAGTATCTGTGCATTTTTCTCAAACTTAAAGGAACAAATGCAGGACTGGGAGAAGAGTGGCTCTTAGCAGAAGGTGTATCACAGCCCTGTAGCATGCCCAAGTGCCTATATTGCCTGGCATATACCCTAAAACTCAGGCAGGTATTTCTAGAATACTCACTGGTTCAGTGGAACACTTTTCAAAGATCAAAAAAGCCCAACATTTGGACATCTGTCTCTAAAGATGACCAAAAGACAGTCAGATGACCAGTTAGTGCTATGATTTTTCAGTCTGTTCCCAGAGCCCTGCTTACCTGGAGAGAGAAGGGTAGTAAAGCAGTGTAATTCCCTCCACACAGAGCATCACCGCGAGGCCCCATGTCATCATGTGGTACAGCACAATTGTACTGCAGGCAACAAATAGGACAGGCATAATTAAAGGTACCAAACCTTACACTTTCCACATGGCAACATAAAAATAGTACACTCACTGAAACAGAGCTTTACAGCTGTGAAAGGGTGCAGGACAACATTAGCAGTACATTAAACTGAGAAAAGCAGGTGGGGCTGGGGGTCCCTTCAGCAACAGGATAAGCCAAAGCGGTTGTTCAGGCTTGAACACAGAAGTCCCACATTCTCCAACCCTTATCCCCAAATCTCCATAAGGAACCCCTGCATCCTTTGTTTCTCCTGCAGAGAGCAAAGTAGGGGATTAAAACTGAAGAGTGAAGCTAAAAAGTCAAATAAACCACTCTTCTGTAATCTGCAGAGAATTATGTTTAACTTTCCAAGTTAGATATTGCTCCCATCTTACGGAGATTCAGATCTATGTGTTAGAAAGTTTTTGTTTACTCTGATCACAGAATTGCATAATGGCTTGGGCTGGAAGGGTCCTTAAAGAGCATCTAGTTCTAAACCCCCTGCCACAGGCAGGGTCACCTTTCAGTAGACCAGGTTGCTCAAAGCCCTGTCCAATCAGGCCTTGAACACAATCAAGCCCAAATAGAGATTTTTGGTTAACAGGTGTGGGGGAAGAAGGTGTGTCCCAGCTGTTTCAGACTAGAACTGTGTGACTTCACAAAATCAGGTTTATTCTCCACAGGCTGAAGTTAATTCAAAAATCCCCATTTTGATAACATCTGCCAGAAAAACCATGTCTCCAACACCTGATTGCTCAGTACTATCCGGGAACAGAGTCACGTAATTCCATGTTTAGCAGTAGCAACTGAAGGTCATTTTGCCCTTCTAACAGCCAGCTTAGAAACACCTTATATTTTCTGTCCAGCATGGTACTTTCCAAAGGGTTTAGGTTTTTCTGTTACAAGCATTGCAGAAAAATAAATAATAAATATGTAAAATTCCTCTTTAAAACTTTACAAATGTGACCAGAAGTGTAATAATGACGGTATTGAGAAGGAGATAAGATAGAAAATTGGAGGAATGAACTGTATGAAATTCAACACCTCCCTACACACACTTTTATTTTCAGGTTAACACTTTTTTTTTTTTCTTGCAAGAATCAATTTTAAGTACAGAGTAGGGACAGAAATAGCTATCTTGCTGCAATAAAGTTTATAGAGTCCAATCCGCTCCCTGTTTTTCCAAAGGTTGAATGAACTCAACTACATTTAAATTCCAGTTAGACGTAAACAAATCAGTATCTGATCATTGCCTTGGCAATTTAAGCATTTAGCACACCACTCATCCATTTCTCCACCTGGTAACCATATGAACATCAGTTAATTGTACAAGCCTCGCTTACACACTTAGATAACTGCAGACAAACATGGATATACATTGCTGGAAGGAAATCAACAAATTCAGAGCTTTAACGCTGGTACCTCAATCCTGCTGATCTTCTTACCACCAGATAAGAATCAACAGCATAGCAAAACAACCACCAGAAGCCAGCACTATATAATAGCTGGATCCACATCTGCAGGGGAAAAAAGTGCCAAATGTCATAGCTGCTTCTCAAGGACCACCTGGGACAGGGGAGGGATTCAAACCTTTAGCCTGGTGATTTGTTCTTTAAGAATGCATTTTCCAGCTAAAATTATAAAGTACGAAATCTTACTCAAAATCACAGGAACAGCATGACTACAGCCAATGGGTCAAGTCACAGGCTAATTGAAAAGCATTTGCTTTCACAGCTTTTTCTATTGTTTAGAAGACCTGTTATTTACCTCTCCAGTGCTAACCTTCACTGTTGTGAGTGAAGCCCAAAGAAATTTATAGTGAGGAATTTTAGGTTAAAATTTTAGTAGTTTCTCAGTAACTGAAGCATAAGAAGATCACTGAGGTCAGTCATCACCACAGTGTGCATATATATTGTGAGTTCTGCATGTGATGGGCATATTCCTCATGTACAAGATACCAATTCAGGGAATGATTATTAAGAAAAAAAAGGTCATTAACAAAAATACCACTCACCTTCTGGAAAAATTACCCATACTGAACTCCCTGACTGATTTCTTCAATAAAAATCCAAAGGGTACAGGTTCAAGTCAAGTTAAATTCCACAGCGGTCATAAGCTGACCCTAGGCATTTTTCCCATGAGTCTATATAAAGGACCTTGCTTTGCCACTGTTTATCAATGCCAAATTTCTTCCAATAAGAGCTGGCTCTTTGTAATAATCTGGAACTATTTTAATATTCAGGTTACCTTCCCTCCAAACTCTCTTTCAGTTCTTATCTGGACATCCTTTAGCACAGCTCCATAGTAGGATTATTTTACAGCTCGAAACCAACATACTTGTTACTGAGCCAAACCACAACGAATATAGATCTACCATTCCTTCCTCCAAAGACTAATCAAGCTGGGGAATATTTCCTTTCACCATGGGTGTAGACCCTTCCTCTAGACATTTGCAGCACAAATCAGCCAGTATTTAATTCAAACACCATGATATTTTCCTAGTGCACAGGGGTCAGAAAATAAAATTCCTGTTTCTTTCTAATGCACTTTACCCATAGCACTCAGCATGTAACTTCCCCTGCATGTATTTGCTGCAGTTGAAAAATGCACAATTTACTATACACTTACACACAAAAATAAACTGTGGGGTATTTCCACCCATAAAATCCAACATAGACAAGAATGCCTCCAAAAATAATATAAACCAGATGCACTAACCCCCCCCCAAAAATCTTCATACGCTATCTCACTTTTTAGCAAAATGACACATTTTGCTACAGTGCCTGAGATGGTACCCCTCTGCAAACCAGACGATGTTATTCAAAGGAGATGCCTAAAGGCCTCCCTATTTGGAGTCTGTATTGGCTTATGGTTAAATGAAATAAAACAATAGTACTAAAAGAAAAATAAAATAGAAACAGAAACATTTTACTAACTCAGAAGAGAATATGTATGGGGAAGTGAGTAGAAGGAGGGTTATTCTTCATTCCAATAAAATTAAATCTAAATTTAGCAAATTACAGTACTTTGCTGGAGCCCAAGGAAAGGGAAATAAAAGCTGTGGTAGTCTGCTGTGCTGCTCACCATATACTCTGAGATAAAAATGACAAGTGAATAGTCTGCATGCAGTATCTTTATCACTATTTAAAAATACTACTTTTTGTGTTAAGGGCCAGAAACTGAAATTTAAGACATAGGCAAACATGAGTTTTCAGTAGGATATTCTTGTTACAAGGTGTTGATGATACTGGTTTTCTCTTCCTCAAAGGAAAAAAACATCCATTTGTATCTAATAAGCAAAACTTAAACATGTATGATGGAGCTGAGAATTGATAGATACAGCTGATAATTAATTCTATGGAAAAACACTGTCATGTCTAAATTGTTATTATATAGGCATATAAGGTACAGTCAATTCAATTTGGCACACACTGTTTTATTTTAAAACTAACGGGGCAAAACAATTTTGTTTACATGCAGCATATCATCTTCTACATTGTAAACTTTGGATTGTAAAGCTATTACTGCTCATGCATGAATTCATTGGGCACTGTAAGTTCCTATTGATTTTATGTTAAGTGATAACCCGTCTTAATTGTCATTCTCCATTTTTGGTATAACATGGCCTTTTTCTTGTACAGTAAACTCAAATTATATGTCTTTGACTGTACTGTGACTGTAATATTTGAAATTGAGTTTCAATATGCACTTTTGCAGATTTACATTTTCTTATTCCTGTGTTTTAATCCAGAAGATACTTAATTATACTTGGCCAGATGTGGTCAATGAATGTCCATATTAGCAGCAATCTGAACTGTAATGCTACATGGCAGGGACAGACCTTCTGCCAACAGCTTTGCATCTTTGGGTATATTCATCCTTCAGTCCCTCTGTGTCTAAAACAGATACTCCTGCTGCAAAAGCTAATTTGAGCTACCCAAGTTGCTGGCTTCAGTTGGTCCCTGCTGCCACCATGCAGGCTATAATTTCTACTGGAGAAGGTGGGCAGATAGATACCTTCATGCTATGTAGCTGCTGGGACATTGGTGATGCTGTGCCAGCACAAACCAAACCAGTGGCTTCACAGCCCATTTGGGAATACCCATACCCTATGCCTCCATAGCCCTGACTTTGTTACAGGTGTGTCCTCCACTATCCTAGTATTCCTGTGACAAGTGAGTACTACAAAAAGCTTGGGACCGGTGTGACTGATGCTGCCCTGTGTCCTCACGTGCACTGTGTGGCACCTAGCATCCTGCCTGCCCTGATCCAGGCTTTTGAAAGGAGGCATGACCACACTTGCAGGGGTGTGGCAGAGGCTGAAACTATCATATCCAGGCTCTGACTCACAGCCAAATTTCCTTGCATATGCAGTGGTGTGCCTTTCAGACTTCCCACGTGGAGAAACTGTCAACCTGGAACAGGAAGAAGGGGAGACGATCTCTTTACCTACCGCACTCCCCACGCAGAAAACAGAAGGCCACACGCTGGTCCCGTTCACCACAGAAATGTTAGCTATGAAACCTGGGAAGCCTAGCCATACACTTGATCTGAAGATCATACCTGAAGAAAAAAATGTATTAATGCTTTGAGTCTGCTGGCATGATTTCAGTCACATGCTTCTCCCCTGCCACATATTTCACATCACAGCCCAGATTTTATGTGTCCAAAGGAAGGCTATGGCTGCAGAGGGACAAAGCAGGAACGACTGCACTATTTAAACACTAGTGTAATTGCTCAGGGAAAGTAGACCCGAGAGTCTGAAGCTGATGGGACTTGAAATGTTATGTAGATTAAAATCCCACTTACTTAAAGATACTGTCACACACTTCCCTAAAATAAATTGGGTGTCATTTAACTGATTGACATACAGCAGAAGCTAACTACAATTTTACCAGCACAGTCATATACTAATGTTTATTTCTCTGTAAGTCCTCGTTGCAGAAAAGAGTTATTGACCACTTTTCACTGTCTTCACTTGTACAATCAGCTTTCTTCCTCTCTGTCACAGGACTGAATAAAGAGGGTATTGGTACTGCATGGGAACAATACACTTTAAAAAAAAAAAAAAAACAAACTTAAGAGTTTGTTCGTGAGATTTTCTGGGTTTGCTTGAAATAGGCATTGAAGCACCAACATATAGCAGAACAAAGCCACCAAGCTTCCCACTAGGAGGGAACGGTTTCTGACCCACCAAAATGAGTTTAATTCAAACACAGTGATGGACAAATAGTTATAGTTTGCCAGTGAAAGGGAAAGGGAGAAAATAACTTTATCTGTTGCTGTCCTCATCTAACTGAAAGGACCTTTTCCAGGTGAATGCACATGTTTTTCCCATATTTTCCTTTTTTTATTTCCCCCTTTATGATTTGTTTTAATATTAGTACTTACTATGTACCATGAGAGAACCTGGCTAGGTATAAAAGGGGAAAAGACCTGAAATTCCACTCCCTTCCCAGGCAGCAAGAGAGACTTACAAAACAGCACTACTTCTCTTACCTAATGTAAGGGGGGAAAAAAATGTTAATTGTAGAAACAAACTCATCCTGTCTTTTCGTAGCATGTGTCATGGTAATTTATACCTAATTTGGCAGTAAATGCCATAGACTGACAGGACATTTAGACACATTAGTTTCATTTTGACTCATTAATTTTGTTTTATTCTCTGTTGTTTTATTCCTCCAGCCTATCAGCCACGGGGCCGACAGCAGGCTGTCCTTGATAAGGGAGCTCTGCTTGCGTTTCAAAAGCCTGTGTCCAGCATGATCTGTGTACAGCTGCAATTCAAACTCATTTGCTGTCAATGTGATGTGCCCAGAGAAGTGGCTGGCATGCAAACAAGACGGCAAACTCTTTCTGAGACGATTTAAAGACATATAGGAAGTGTTCTTCAAATGTCCTATAGATTGGCTAAGTGTTTGATGTCAGCTTTAGTTTTGAATGTGCTGCCTCTCCTCTACTTTTATGCCGTACTCTGAGAACCTGCCATTGTTTTTAATTTTAATATGTTTTAAAGCAGATTTTGGTGTAGATTTGTCAAGAGCTTTTACCTCTAAAATATAACTACCAAACAAGATCTTTCTCCCCCCAAGGCCAATCACCTACTGCTCTCACTTGGCCCAAATCTGCCTGTGAATACATGCAGCATGTTTCCCTCAGAAATCTCTACTGTTCACTCACCATCTTCATTTGGTTGTGGTACCTCAGAGCAACAAGAGCCTGCTACAGAAAGGGTAAGGGACATCAAGCTGGCACTTACCTAAGCTACCAAGGATGTCACAAATGGAGATAAGGAGAAGGATGGTGGAAGAGGAGGAGGCTTTGGGCATCTTCCGTGGGCTCTGTCCCTTCTTCGGCAGAAGCTGCAGGACGGTCAGTAGCAGACTGATGGAGGAGCTGCCAATGCAAACTCCACAGAAGACTTCAGGCTGGAAGTTCATCACTAGCTGTGTAGCTGCATCCTGGTTCGGGCAGCAGTAGGTTTCTAACCTGGGAGAAGCCATGAAGCGTCCGGCTGGTGGAGGGTCCCCACGAGCAGAAGAAAATGCTGTTGCTTCCCCAAAGCAGCGTTCACTTTTTCTTCACCCTCCCCATTAGTCCTTGGTGGTGAGAATCACGCGATTGACGGATCATGTGCTGCTGCTGCTGGAAGTAAATCCCCTAGAGCGGCCTTTCTCAGCCTCTCCTAGCAAGGAGATCAGATTCAAACAAGAAAACACAGTGTAATCTGAATCATGCCCCATGCTTGCTCAGAGTCGTTGGCAGCAGTTCACTCACATATTTCTGCTTGCATAGTATGTGATACAGGAACTTAAACTCTTCAGAACATTGAAGGTAGTTTAAAATAAATAAGGATGCAGATACCAAAGGAGAAACATTACATTTTAATTGTGTTTCTCTTTATCCCCATCCCACACAGCACCCTTTAATTACTGAAAATTAATTGAAAAGGTGAGTCCAGACACAAGCAGTCCCAGCCTTTATACGAAGGAGCAGGGCTGTACTTCCACACCCTAAACCCAAATCTCAGTTTTAGTGATCCAACCCACCCATCTTCTTAATTAAAATTAGAAACATGATATCCTATCACTGTAGAAAGAGATTACATTTAAGAAGATAATATTAACCTCATCCTATTTAAACCACAAGCACAAAAATTCTTTTCTTTAGTCTGCACTGTCTGCATTGGATCAGCTTGACATGGAAAACACCAGAACGTTTGACTTCTCAAGAATTTTTTTATTTTTAAATTTGGTAAGGGTTTAATATGAAAACAGGACTTGTAATGTTTGATTTTACTTTATAAGCTAAACAGTATCTTGTAAGTCACGGATCTTATTAGACATAGCAGCAAATACAATCATAAACACAAAAAGGAACTCTTCCAGTCTCAGCTGCATTTCAAACTCCCTGTGTCAGCTGTCACCCCTCCAAAACTCTTGTTTGTAGCAACATGGTCAGGAAATACAGGAGGGAGTACTGCCAAAGAACTACAGTGAACTGGATGTTAAATAACAGTCATGGATTTTATAATTTTTCCTTGTAAGAATAAACAACCAAACCTTTTATTTCTTTTTTTAATTTATTTTTTTCATTCCAAATGGCCCAGAATAATTTAGCAGAATTAAAAAGGTCTGGTGAATGATAGTGGGATGTTTTGCATGCAGGTGTTATAAAACAGGGTCTTCAGACAGTATGTTTGCCCATTGTAGAGAAAACATCCACCAGTCCTGAGTAAAATGGCACCTGCCGAGTTTTTTACTATACAAGATACCTTATACTTGATCCCAGAACAAGACCAAACCCATCAAGCTCACCAGCCTGCTGACCACTGGTGGTGGCCATGCAGCCTCCTCATGCAGGACAGTAGTGTCAGGGCTTGGGTGGGCAGGTGGAGCCCAGGCTGCCAGGCACATTGTGCATCCACCCAGCCTGCTCCTGAGGGACTCCCCAGTGCTCTGCCCAGGCTATATCACCTCAAGAGCAGGATGTTAGCTTGCAGATTCAGACTCCTACACGCAGGTGTCCATACATCAGCAAGGTGTCTGCACTCCCATTGTAGTCAATCAAGATCTTCAGCAGATAAGCTTAGAGTCTAGACTTCAGTCTAGAGAGCTGTTCAGCTCTTCCTAAATTAAATGCACATGGTGAACTGAGTAGGCTCCAGTAACTATAATGGGAACTGAGGCATGGGCATCATCAAAGACTCTGAAGTCCAGGCATCTGAGTTTGAAGCTGAATGTTTTTGCTGGATGTTTTTGCTGCTTTTCAGCATAAAGAGATTTTCCTGCTCCATGGATGAGGACAGGGGAGTGACCCGGATGTTGCAATCCTATGTTTTGTTACTGGCATGTATACAAAACTATACAGGGGACAGCAAGGTTACACACTAGACTGGCCTGCTCCAGAAATACAAACTCTTGTTGAGGTAAAGAAGAGTACCTATGCTCTGCGGTCAGTAAAGAGCTCCGTTGTCAGTACAAGGTTGGGACTCCTCAGGATTTACTCCACCTCCACTAAAGCAGCAGTGCAGAGAGTTGCCATCTCTTTGACAAGATACTGCATTGCAATCTACCTGGCTACTAAAGAACAATTAAAATAATTCTATAAAGACAGAATATTATTAAAATAAAGCCATCATACACCACATATGCAATGCAAATACATATAAATTAAATTATGCTTGCTCTCATTTGAAAGCAAACTTACATTGCCCTGTTTACAATTAGAACAGCAAAACTTGGATTATTTCAGAAACTCCTGAATAGAAGCCTTTAATTTGCACTATCAGGTTTTTAAATTGTCCTCCTCACTATTTCTGCTGCCATTTTCCTTCCTTCAAAAATCAGAAAAGCATGTCAAGTTGTTACCCTGATGGTTTGTTCTGGCTGACAGATGGGAATGTTTTGCATGTTTTGCTTTTTCCGCTTATCATTTGTTTCAATTGATCCTGACTCTGATCTTCTAGTTTTCCCCTCTGGATCTACCACTTTATTATTTTAACTTCTCTCCACCATTTTGAAACTACTTTCATTTCTCAATTTGCAGTCTTACACTCTGGAGATTTTTCTTTTTCTCTCCACAGTTTCACTGGCTCTTTTGCCACCTATTTTTATTGCTTTACTTCTCTGAGGGGAAGAGTGCTCTTCTGGGTCCCTTTCCTGCTACTCTCTCAGGATTTGATTATGCAGTTAGTTACAGATGGAGTAAGCGATTTTTATTGGAAGCAAAGCATATGACCTGTGGCATACCTAATACAAAAAGAAAATAAAGTGAGTCATGAGTGAATGGATACCAGGCATGATACGAGTAGATGTGCCTTTACATGTGGGCATCTGAGGCTGAATGGGAGATGGAGCTGTCTAACTAATGAGCCACCCAATATCTCAGCTGATAAGATCTAGCTAGTCTCTGGCCCTTGCTGCTGAGCTAGAAGTATAAAGAGTCAGAACAGTCAAAGAAATACAAAGCTGGTTTGGCAGTCTTATACCCGAGATTAATTTGGCTTCTCATGATTATGAAAATAAGAGGATAAAAGCTGGGGACAAAGGCAAAGAAAACAGAAAACTAATGAAAGTAAGAGAAGAGTTATTTTGCCTTGCTAAGAAACATTATTCAGTATTCAATAAAACTTACATTGTTCTACAGGTCCTAATTCCCTTGCCTCTGAAATTACTGACACAGTTCCCACTGCTGCCCAGTGGTACAAAACAGACGCAGAAATAAGGAATGTCTCATTTCTGTGTCAAAGCAGGATCTTGATTAAGCAAGCGGTGTAGCTTGCAGACAACCATTAGCACACATACAAGCAACATAAAAAAAAAAAAAAAAAGAAGAAACCCTGGCATTGCAAATACCTATCAATCAAGCTCACAGCGTAAGTACCACATTGCGCAACACTGAAAATTCCAGTCCTGGTTTTGTACATTGGCAACAGGAAAAATACTGTGCTCCCTGCAATAATAATAAGCATGTACTCCATACACACAGCTTTTAGAAATACCTGCTCATGCTCTCCTTGGACACTGGACATAATGTTTCAGTCCAGTCCTTGGGCTTGCCTGCTTCTAAGGGAAAGCAACAGGTTTGCAAAAATATGACAGGCATGCATTTCTGCTGTTAAGGAGTGTGCTTGAGCATGCAGTTACAGATACTTTAATCACTGTTCTAATTAAATCTGGGACTACAGCAGTTGTTTAAAAAGAAGAAGGGAATTTATGGATATAGAGACAGAGGAGAATTTATTTCTGTTTGTGTTTACAGTCCAGTCCATCACTCACTGAATTTACAGCTCCAAACTATATTTTGTCAATGATTCATGATCTTATGGTCTTTTTACACATTACCTAACAGATCCCAAATTGACAAAAGTTGAGTCTGTCTTCAAGCTAAATGGATGCAATAAACCAGTTATGATCTCCCCAACAGATCCTACAATATGTTTTTAAAGACCTTAACATACAAATCTTCTACATGCTTAGCATGGTTTTTCATTTTATCCACACAGACTTTACACAATTAGATTTAGTTTGGAAGAAAAGAGAAGATGTGTCCTCCCTTAATTATCAGTACTAATTTTTAAAGCTAATTTTAAACTGGCATTAACACTTCATGCCTAACTGAAATGAATGGGGAAATTCACATCCCATTATTTCGATTTCAATTTTTCTGTAAATTAGGTAGGGATATTGGAACAATAGTGATATTCAACATCTGCCATAACAGCTACAGACTCCATTAAAAATAACTGGAAGAAAAACAGAGGTATTGCTTCCCTTCCCTCAGAGATCTTAATGTAATTACAGAGTTGTAAATTATTCATTTACATTTAAGTGTGCTGAACATTAATTTAAAAGGATGAGAATGAATGTGTCTCCTTTGCATAAAAACAAGAATGTTTGAGTTCTTTTGTTTTCTTTAAGAATGAAAACATAAGTATGTACAATGAATAGCTCAGTAATTCTGTATATTTGATGCAATTGTGTTACACGTATTTTACAGATTTTTTATACACCTTCTG